TGGGCCCCCCCGGGGGGCCCCGCCGTGCCCGGTGCCGCCCCGCTTCAAAATGGCGCAGCGGGCACGGGGGACCTAGCCGGGAGTCGAACGCCGACTACTCGATGGGTTTGCCGTGCCGGCGGCTCCGGGGGAGGAAAGGCAGGGCGCTTGAGTGCCGAGTCATCGATGTGCGCGGCGGCCGTTGCTGCCGCCCTGTGCCCGCCGCCTTGGCGGCTCCTGGTGGGATGAGGCGATCTCTGACGCAGAGCAGCCATAAAGAGTGAAGATCTGGGGTGGGAATCAAAAGCAGGGAACATATTGCTAATGTGGGAGTTAGTAATTCTCATGCTAGCCTTTTAGTATGGACCAGAAATACGCCTTTGAAGCGAGTCAGCTTGTCTTGCTGCCCTAATCGACCTAATGGCTCATGTTATGGAGCGGTCCCAGAGCATATGGACTGGATATTCCTTTTGGATAAGATTGAACTCAAAACTATGCGCTGACAACACACCTAATACATTCCAGCTGCTCCGGGGCATTCAGCCCATGGCAGTAAACTAAGTCTGAAATGAAGTCCCCTGAAAATGTGCAGTGCCTGTGTGGAGGCTGCGTCCCCTGCTCCGTTTCACTGGGGAGGTCTGCCATCAGCCAACCACACCGCTTGCTGAGATGGCCAGTTGTGTCCTAACCTTCCTATTAGCACAGAAAGTTAACCACAGAAGGTTGCGATGACAGGAAAGCATTCTCTGCTGCATTTTTTGGCCTTCGTTATGTGGCGGTACACTGCTTTATGCCCCAAGACGTAGGTAGTGTAAAATCAGCTCTTTATTATGTACAAGAAGAGGAGGAGAGAGAGAAAAGTCATATGTTCTTTATGTGTCAGAACATTGAATCTGCTTCTCTTGCTTACTAAATTATAATGCAACAAATGTTAGGAAGCTGTGCAGTTAATGAGATGGTACTGTGTTGTGATATGTAGCATTTTTGTTTGTTTCAGGTTATGAAGAGATGTGAATACATGAAAACTTTGGCTTCAATTTAAAAGTGGGTGAGTTTTCAGGGCTCTGAGGTGAAAAAAAATGGAAATATCTTGTACATTATAAACACATAAGCATATGATGCACATACAGCTGTGTTAAGATACACAGGATTCACCACTTCTGTCTACACTTTGGGGAAGTTACGCATCAGGGAGTGGTTTCTAGGCCATCACTCAAGAGGAGCACGTGGCTGCTGTCCACACTGCTTGCTCACACCTTCATCTGTTTTCCAAATTCTTATTATCTCAGGCTTGTTGCTAGTGTCACTTTGTTTTCCAAAATGGGGCTGAGCATTTTCCGATGCTGCTACACACAGTTTGAGCTAGGAGTGAAGAGAAAACACCCTGTTGCAGAACATGAATGAAACTCCTGCTAACTGCTCGTTTAACAGTCACAGGTTTGTGGCATTGTATTAGGATATGAACTTTTTTTTTTTCCTCTCCACACCTTAACAGTAGTACAGAGGTCTACAGCTCAGGAAGCTATTCAGGGAGCAGGTGTAATATGTGTGTCAGATAAAACTGCACCTTAGCTCTGGATCCAGGAGCTTTAAAAGGAGAGTGCTGTCTTCAGTGCTGTTTGCCAGAAGAACTTCTATTCTCTCTAAGTTCTGGGCAGTGGTAGTGCTCTTGGAAACCTCCCTGTGCCTACCAGTGAAGAAGAGACAGCTCTGTAATGTGGGCATGAATGCGGTGGAGCTTGCGTGCCCGTGCGTGGCCTACACCACACACTTCATGGAGTTGCACTGGCAGGATTTGCGCCTTCCCGGGGACACCATGAACACACAAATTAGTAGCAGATCACTACAGAAGAATCACGAGTGGAAATGTTTGTGACACCAGGGTCTTCCCAAGCCCTTTTCCAGTCAGACATGGATTCCTTGAGCTAGACCAAGATTTTGCTGTTTGGTCGCAGCCAAGGATGGAGAGGCGGACGTCTTCTGTGTGCCTTTCTCTGTCACATCAGATGCTACGCAGTCTCACCCAGCAGTGAGAGGAAAGCTCATATATGGTCATAAAGAGAAAACCTGATATAATCAATACACTTCAACTGGATCCCACATATCAGCATGGTACCTGTATGAAAAAAATACTCAAATTCTACCTTGTTACATGCATTTAAGCTATTTTTTACAGGAATCTTAGGTCTAGGTTTCTAAATCTTCTTAAAAATCTTATCATCAGCTCTTTTGTTCTTGTTTTTCCTCCCTTCAGTAGAAGAGCTACTGGGATAAGTACTACATTACTGAGGCAAAAAAGAGAGCTCTCTGTTGTTCTCCAAGGCTCAGACAGCATGTCGTCATGCGTCAACTAATGGCTAGTTAATGAAATGAATACCTGACTGAATATACTGCTTTGTTAAGTGGGATAGCTGCAATTGGGGACAGGCTGTCGACAATTCAAGCATTATTGTGCCAGATGCTTCCTGAAAAGGAAGCATTCAAGAGAACATCTAACATAGTACTTCTTCCAGGCAGGTTTGGGTAAGATCTTCCCAGGCAATTGAATACTTTTTTATTCTCAAGCCTGTTTAAAAGTTTTTTTTTCTATTGTTTAAACAAATCTTTTGTGCTAAAATAGAGATGTTTGTTTGTTTACTTGCCCACCACCCCCTTTGTCTTATCCATGAACATGGAGAATATCCTTAAACACTTTAGAAATATGAAAAGAGCACTACTAGCTTAGATTAGCAATAACTGATACATACGTTTTAGGTAAACTCAAAAAAAAAAAAAATCCACAGCATCCCTGGCCAATAAGATCCATGTGTTAACTACTTGCTTTGAGAAAGTTTATCTTCTTTTTATATTAATCTTAACTGATTTCACTTGTGGACCCCTATCTCTCACAAGAAAGAATGAATAATTTTTCCCTTTCAACTTTTACTCCTGCAATAGCTTTTTATGTACTAGAGGACTTACTATCTCTTGTTGTTGTTGAAAATCAGTAACTTTTACCGATTTTACTGATCTTTCTTCATCATTCTGTGTTTTCTTGATTGAAAGTATCCCAAACTGGAAACAAGTGGTCCGGTGCAGTTTTTACCAGTTTTGGGATAATGGAGCATAGGGACTGGTGCCATACATGCTTCTTTCACTAATATTTGTGTTTGAAGATTTTTGAAAAGAAGACCAGAAACATGAAAGCAAGCAAACAAACAGAAATACTTGCTTTAGAGTACCAGTTCAAATCTGCTCCTTAAATTGTTGGAAGGAGCAATTAAATATGATTTAATACTCTAAGAAACTTCCTTGTTATTATATCTGTCTTAGGGCTAAGGGATTTCTTTTCTAACAGGATGAGATCTCTCTTCCCATTAGTTATCACGTCGCAACACATTTCACCCCAAAAATGTACAATTTCTATCACAGAAGGGATTTATGGAAAGGTGAAAGCTTAGTCAAAGTATTTGAATGTATGTTTAAATTGTGTGAGGCATCTAAAACAAGCATTAGGTTTCACTCTATTTGGGCAAACGATGTTTACTGTGATGAATATGCCTAAAATTAAAGCCACAGGATGTACTTTCTCAGTAATATGCACACCAGAAGTCCAGAGGAAACACTATAAAGAAACATATTTTCATCATGAGGGCAAAAACGATGTGAGAAACTCCCTTGGTGCTTTAGCATTTTATCTCCTGCTAGAATTTCCCCTTCTGCTTAAAAGTGATGTTTCAGCAGGTTGTAACAATAGAAGTCCATGTTTCAGAAAGAAACAAGCATGATATGCTGAACACAGTGTTACCTTATTTGATAAGATATTTTCTTGTACCCAAATGCATTGTAACCCAACTTCTACAAACCAAGAATGCTGGTAATTATAATATAAAAGACAACTTTTGTGGAACGATTTATAAAAATGTTATGATGGGGAAGCTGACAGTTTTTTACCATCTAAATATAAAGAGATGGGTATTCTTTCCTTCCCAATTGTTTTCAATATTACAGTGTTGTTTTCTGCTTATCTGCTAGCTAAGTGCATGCTTTGATTTCCAGCAAAGAGAGGTTTTCTTTGTGCTGCCTATGCC